TGTTGCTGGAGGAGACAGATGGACTCCAGGTTAGGCATTTACATCTAGCCTGTTTACATTTCTTGAGGCAAGAGATGGTTGGGCTCCAGTTGAGCCTTTACAGTCAGTGTCCTGCTTGCCCTGTGAAATGGAAGTAACAACAGAAAGAGGGTAAATAGCCAGTGTCTGTCTCTTATGAACACTTTAGTAGCCATGACAAGGGCAAAGAGGGACAAAATCCTGCTTGAGTCAAGGATGAAGAGATCTCCCCTCCGCCCACCCCCCTTGTGGGAGAAGGGAAACACTACACACGCGCAGAGAGGCTCCTTGTGGGTGAAAAGTCCCGCGAAAATGCCAGACCATGATGAGCCTCGCTTCTCCCAGAAGCCTCCACTTGGAGATCCATCTTGGCTGAGGGGTATGTGCACACCAGGGCAGAGGCCCAGGATAGGTCAGATGTGAAGAATGGAACCAGAAACTTGGCAGGAAGGAAGACAAAGACCCAGAAGAACTGGCCTATATAAAGGACTTCACCACCTCGTGGTTATTGTGCTCCTTCTCACCAGGGGGCGCCCATAACCTTTCTCTCCAGGTGTGTGTCTCTGCTTTGCTTCTGTCGGAACTAGACCAGCTGTTCCTCCGTGTTCTTTCCCACGTGTTGCTGTGCTGTGTCTCTGATAATAAACGTTGTACCTGCATGTAGCGATTCTGCCTCCATGATGAATGCATTTTTCACTGGTCAAAGATCCAGGGAAACTTGGCTTCTAGCCTCTAGCCCTTGCTGGTCTGGTGGCTAGGATTCCTGGTTTTCGTTCAGGCTACCCAGGTTCAGTTCCTGGGCAGCGAATTAGACCTCACTGCACGCCACCACTCACTGCTGCCTCACTGAGATCAACTCAATTTTTATCACCATTTAATCTACATCATATGAATTTTTGCAACTTTTCGTAAAAGGACTTCTTAGGGATTAACATACTGATATTTCCATAAGGGGGAAATACTTCTTCCCTAAAACTGCATTGAGAAGATTTGCACTTAAGAAAGTGTGTTTTACTGTAGCAGAATTATTATTTTGTCTTTACACTCTAGCATTTGTTAAATCCTTAACTGCCAAGAACTGTTCAGGCTTCCCTGGTGGCTCAGCTGGTGAGGAATCCACCTGCAGTGCAGGAGACCTGGGTTCGATCCCTGGGTTGCAAAGACCCCCTGGAGAAGGGAAACGGCTACCCACTCTAGTATTCTGGCCTGGGGAATTCCATGGACTGTACAGTCCATGGGTTCGCAGAGTCAGACATGACAGAGCGACTTTCACTGTTCACCAGCAACGGTTCGGCCTGAGATAAGAACTTTCAAAAATCTTTGAACACAGACGCTCTAACTTATTTTCCCTCTGGGATAAATATTTTGCATTTACTTTTAGGTCATATAGACACAATAGGCAGAGAACTCTCTTATTATGTATTTTATTTGCATGTAAATTAACATCCTAGAAAGTTTAAAATAGAAACACTAAATACAGTATTGCACAGAACAATCTCTGTTAAATGCCCCATTATCTCACTGAAGTTCCTATACGCATGCAGGGACTGAAGGAGACAGGAAGATGGCAGAAGAGCAACCCGAGAGCCACTACTGTGTCTGGGCACATCAACTACAGACTGCAAGGTAAGGACAGTATTTTATAGGAATAGAAACATAGTTACAATTCAGATTTCCTTTTTAAGTTGCCTCCTTAATTGGTTTGCAGTAGCAACAGATTCTCCCCTTTTTTCATAGCCATTCCCCAACACATATCATTTTTAAAAATCTATTAATGTTAGACAAAGCCATCACAGTGCTTCAGGAGTGACTTCAAGAAAACTCCAATCAAGTCACAGTACTCAGGCAGGTGGGTTTAATAGACAAGTCCTAGGTAGATATCAATCCATCTGAAAGTGGGCAGTAATGTTTGAACACATCTAGGATTTCCTTTTAAACACATGCTCCAAGGAAAACAGTACTGAATTGACCAGAGGAACAGTAAAAAGAGGACATCACTGGAAGGGAGTTTACACTGCCAGTCTGGCCCTGCGGTCTGGCGCTGGGGTAGCATCTGCTCGCTTGGCCCCTGTGTCCCTCAGGGAGGTCACGGGCTCAAGAGTGCAGAACAAGTATCATCACTAGGACTGCCCAGAGCTGCTGCGAACATCCAAAAAGTTTCACTTTAAGAGTTCTTTAGAGGGCTTCCCTGGCGATCCAGTGGCTGCTCCCAATGCAGGGGCCTGGGTTCAATCTCTGGTCAGTGAACTAGATCCCATTCACTGCAAGGAAGAGTTTGCACGCCACAATGAAAGATCCCATGTGTGGCAACCAAGACCTGGTGCAGCTTACAAAAGAGAAAAAAGGCACAAAATGTTCTTTAGAAAGTGCTATAAAATGCTATGAATGATTGCTTCTGCTAAGCAAATGGTAAGAAAATATGTGTATTAGTTGCTCAGCGGTGTCCGACTCTTTGTGACTCCATGGACTGTGGCCTTCCCAGTTCCTCTGTCCGTGGAATTCTCTAGGCAAGAATACTGGAAGAGGTGGCCATTCCCTTCTGCAGGCGATCTTCTCAACCCAGGCATGAAACCCAGGTCTCCTGCATTGCAGACAGATTCTTTACCACCTGAGCCACCAGGGAAGCCCAGGAAATACGTCGACCGGAATCCTCTTAATCAAGACAGGGGCCATTAGAGAGAAAATAACCTACTCGGTTAATTTAGTTTTATTATTGCCATTCTCCTTGGGAATTAAAAATAGGGTACTTCTGGAGAAACTGACAAAGCTGTGATTTATCTTAATAAAAGACTTCTTATGGAGATCTTGAAACCTGTTTCCGGAAAGAAATGAGTTCTAAATATATTTCTTAAGCCTGGTGGCATAGTTTCTAATGACAGAATTCATCTCCCATGCAGCTCAATGAATCCCTGTTGTTTTTTTTTTTTCATTTATTTTTATTAGTTGGAGGCTAATGACTTTACAAATTTTTTTGTCATACATTGACATGAATTAGCCATGGATTTACATGTATTTCCCATCCCGATCCCCCCTCCCACCTCCGTCTCGACCCGATCCCTTTGGCTCTTCCCAGTGCACCAGGTCCGAGCACTTGTCTCCTGCATCCAACCTGGGCTGGTGATCTCTTTCACCCTAGATTATATATACACGTTTCGATGCTGTTCTCTTGAAACATCCCACCCGCGCCTTCTCCCACAGAGTCCAAAAGTCTGTTCTATACATCTGTGTGTCTTTTTCTGTTTTGCAAATAGGGTTATCGTTACCATCTTTCTCAATTCCGTGTATATGTGTTAGTAGCCTGTAATGGTCTTTATCTTTCTGGCTTACTTCAGTCTGTATAACGGGCTCCAGTTTCATCCATCTCTTTAGAACTGATTCAAATGAATTCTTTTTAATGGCTGAGTAAGATTCCATGGTGTATATGTACCACAGCTGCCTTATCCATTCGTCTGCTGATGGGCATCTAGGTTACTTCCAATTCCTGCCTATTATAAACGGTGCTGCGATGAACATTGGGGTGCACGTGTCTCTTTCAGATCTGGTTTCCTCGGCGTGTATGCCCAGAAGTGGGATTGCTGGATCTTAGGGCAGTTCTTTTTCCAGTTTTTTAAGAAATCTCCACACTGTTTTCCATAGTGGCTGTACTAGTTTGCATTCCCACCAACAGGGTAAGAGGGTTCCCTTTTCTCCACACCCTCTCCAGCATTTATTGCTTGTAGACTTTTTGGATAGCAGCCATCCTGACTGGCGTGTAATGGTACCTCATTGTGGTTTTGATTCGCATTTCTCGGATAATGAGTGATGTTGAGCATCTTTTCATGTGTCTTTTAGCCATCTGTATGTCTTCCTTGGAGAAATGTCTGGTTAGCTCTTTGGCCCATTTTTTGATTGGGTCATTTATTTTCTGGAGTTGAGCTGGAGGAGTTGCTTGTATATGTTTGAGATTAATCCTTTGTGTGTTGCTTCATTTGCTGTTATTTTCTCCCAATCTGAGGGATGTCCTTTCACCTCACTTATAGTTTCTTTGTCGTGCAAAAGCTCTTAAGTTTCATTAGGTCCCATTTGTTAATTTTCGCTTTTGTTTCTAATCCTCTGGGATCCTGCTGTGATTTATGTCAGAGAGTGTTTTGCCTGTGTTCTCCTCTAGGAGTTTTATGGTTTCTGGTCTTAACATTTAGATCTTTAATCCATTTTGAGTTTATTTCTGTGTATGGTGTTAGAAAGTGTTCTCGTTTCATTCTTTTCCAGGTGGCTGACCAGTTTTCCCAGCACCGCTTGTTAAAGAGGTTGTCTTTTTTTCCACTGTATATCCTTGCCTCCTTTGTCGAAGATAAGGTGACCATAGGTTCGTGGATTTATCTCTGGGCTTTCTGTTCTGTTCCATTAATCTATATTTCTGTCTTTGTGCCAGTACCATACTGTCTTGATGACTGTGGCTTTGTGGTATAGTGTGAAGTCAGGCAGGTTGATTCCTCCAGTTCCATTCTTCTTTCTCAAGATTCCTTTGGCTATTCGAGGTGTTTTGCATTTCCATACAAATTGTGAAATTATTTGCTCTAGTTCTCTGAAAGCTGCCGTTGGTAGCTTGATAGGGATTGCATTGAATCTGTAGATTGCTTTGGGTACTATAGCCATTTTGACAATATTGAGAATCCCTGTTTTTCAACAACGGAATGAATCAAATCATTGAGTGCAGCAGCTCTGAGGTTACTGTTACAGCTCACATTAAGGCAAGATGGATCAAGGTAACTGTTGGTTTGTTTGTTTTTTTAGCCGTTGGTGAAAATCCAGTAGATGCTGTCTTAAATTTACTTAGAACTCTTGAAGGAAGAATTTTAAGGACCTCAGGAAGGTGCTGTGCTTGGCGAGCGGCGGGGCGAGGAGGGGGGCAGAGGTAGAGCGAAGGGGCGGGGCTGAGGCACTCGGGTGGACCGCACTGGTGGCTCCGGTTGGGTTTGGGCCCCGGGCAGGTGCCGGGCAGGATGGGCGCTCAGGGCCCCGGCTGCGCTCCGCCTATGCCCGAGGGAGGCTCAGAGGACCGAGGGCCGCGGTCCGCGGCGGGCCCGAATCAGACACCTCCGGGGCCACGTGGCCCTGAGCCACGAACGGGAGTGGGCAGGGGGGGGGCGCCGACAGGGGGCGGGCCTGGAGAGGCCCAGGGCGGGAGGTCGCCGAGACCTCCGCGCCCCTTACCCCAACCCCAAGCCCAGGCATGCACGCCCGACCGGCCGCTCGGGGTCCCGGAAACACTCCGGGCCCCCGGGCCGGGCCAGGTTTGCTGGCCAGGGTTACTGGTGTGCGGGGACGGGGAGGATTCGGCCGGGCTGCCGGCCCTGGCCGGCGCGCCCCGTGGAAAGGTGCGGCTGGCTGGCTCGACACGGCACATCAGAGCGAAAAGGAGGCGCAGCGCAGGGTTTTTTAAAGGTGCCTGGCGGCAACCGCCTCCATCTAAGATCATACCACCCTGAACGGGCCAGATGTCTTCTGATCGGGGAAACTAAGCAGGGTTAGTTAGTACTTGGATGGGAGACCCCCTAGTAGTTAGGAGCTCCAGGCTTTTGCACAAAGTAGACGACAAGCCAACGCAGAGGTGATGAAAAGTTTATCGTGAAAAATCCAATTCAACCTGAATTCAAAGATGGTTTATGGCATAAAAGCAAGTGTTTTCCATTAGGTTCCCCCCCACCCCCCATTAACTTGCATAATGGTTGCCATTAGCATAATGCTTAGTTTTTATTCCTTCTTTCCTTGTCTATATCCATCTTTTTGCACCATCATGTGGTGCCTTATTGGCATAATTTTCCGCCTTTTGTCTTCCCATAATGTTGCTGGAGGAGACAGATGGACTCCAGGTTAGGCATTTACATCTAGCCTGTTTACATTTCTTGAGGCAAGAGATGGTTGGGCTCCAGTTGAGCCTTTACAGTCAGTGTCCTGCTTGCCCTGTGAAATGGAAGTAACAACAGAAAGAGGGTAAATAGCCAGTGTCTGTCTCTTATGAACACTTTAGTAGCCATGACAAGGGCAAAGAGGGACAAAATCCTGCTTGAGTCAAGGATGAAGAGATCTCCCCTCCGCCCACCCCCCTTGTGGGAGATGGGAAACACTACACACGCGCAGAGAGGCTCCTTGTGGGTGAAAAGTCCCGCGAAAATGCCAGACCATGATGAGCCTTGCTTCTCCCAGAAGCCTCCACTTGGAGATCCATCTTGGCTGAGGGGTATGTGCACACCAGGGCAGAGGCCCAGGATAGGTCAGATGTGAAGAAAGGAACCAGAAACTTGGCAGGAAGGAAGACAAAGACCCAGAAGAACTGGCCTATGTAAAGGACTTCACCACCTCGTGGTTATTGTGCTCCTTCTCACCAGGGGGCGCCCATAACCTTTCTCTCCAGGTGTGTGTCTCTGCTTTGCTTCTGTCGGAACTAGACCAGCTGTTCCTCCGTGTTCTTTCCCACGTGTTGCTGTGCTGTGTCTCTGATAATAAACGTTGTACCTGCATGTAGCGATTCTGCCTCCATGATGAATGCATTTTTCACTGGTCAAAGATCCAGGGAAACTTGGCTTCTAGCCTCTAGCCCTTGCTGGTCTGGTGGCTAGGATTCCTGGTTTTCGTTCAGGCTACCCAGGTTCAGTTCCTGGGCAGCGAATTAGATCTCACTTCACGCCACCACTCACTGCTGCCTCACTGAGATCAACTCAATTTTTATCACCATTTAATCTACATCATATGAATTTTTGCAACTTTTCGTAAAAGGACTTCTTAGGTATTAACATAGTGATATTTCCATAAGGGGGAAGTACTTCTTCCCTAAAACTGCATTGAGAAGATTTGCACTTAAGAAAGTGTGTTTTACTGTAGCAGAATTATTATTTTGTCTTTACACTCTAGCATTTGTTAAATCCTTAACTGCCAAGAACTGTTCAGGCTTCCCTGGTGGCTCAGCTGGTGAGGAATCCACCTGCAGTGCAGGAGACCTGGGTTCGATCCCTGGGTTGCAAAGACCCCCTGGAGAAGGGAAACGGCTACCCACTCTAGTATTCTGGCCTGGGGAATTCCATGGACTGTACAGTCCATGCGTTTGCAGATTCAGACATGACAGAGCGACTTTCACTGTTCACCAGCAACGGTTCGGCCTGAGATAAGAACTTTCAAAAATCTTTGAACACAGACGCTCTAACTTATTTTCCCTCTGGGATAAATATTTTGCATTTACTTTTAGGTCATATAGACACAATAGGCAGAGAACTCTCTTATTATGTATTTTATTTGCATGTAAATTAGCATCCTAGAAACTTTAAAATAGAAACACTAAATACAGTATTGCACAGAACAATCTCTGTTAAATGCCCCATTATCTCACTGAAGTTCCTATATGCATGCAGGGACTGAAGGAGACAGGAAGATTGCAGAAGAGCAACCCGAGAGCCACTACTGTGTCTGGGCACATCAACTACAGACTGCAAGGTAAGGACAGTATTTTATAGGAATAGAAACATAGTTACAATTCAGATTTCCTTTTTAAGTTGCCTCCTTAATTGGTTTGCAGTAGCAACAGATTCTCCCCTTTTTTCATAGCCATTCCCCAACACATATCATTTTTAAAAATCTATTAATGTTAGACAAAGCCATCACAGTGCTTCAGGAGTGACTTCAAGAAAACTCCAATCAAGTCACAGTACTCAGGCAGGTGGGTTTAATAGCCAAGTCCTAGGTAGATATCAATCCATCTGAAAGTGGGCAGTAATGTTTGAACACATCTAGGATTTCCTTTTAAACACATGCTCCAAGGAAAACAGTACTGAATTGACCAGAGGAACAGTAAAAAGAGGACATCACTGGAAGGGAGTTTACACTGCCAGTCTGGCCCTGTGGTCTGCCGCTGGGGTAGCATCTGCTCGCTTGGCCCCTGTGTCCCTCAGGGAGGTCACGGGCTCAAGAGTGCAGAACAAGTATCATCACTAGGACTGCCCAGAGCTGCTGCGAACATCCAAAAAGTTTCACTTTAAGAGTTCTTTAGAGGGCTTCCCTGGCGATCCAGTGGCTCCTCCCAATGCAGGGGCCTGGGTTCAATCTCTGGTCAGTGAACTAGATCCCATTCACTGCAAGGAAGAGTTTGCACGCCACAATGAAAGATCCCATGTGTGGCAACCAAGACCTGGTGCAGCTTACAAAAGAGAAAAAAGGCACAAAATGTTCTTTAGAAAGTGCTATAAAATGCTATGAATGATTGCTTCTGCTAAGCAAATGGTAAGAAAATATGTGTATTAGTTGCTCAGCGGTGTCCGACTCTTTGTGACTCCATGGACTGTGGCCTTCCCAGTTCCTCTGTCCGTGGAATTCTCTAGGCAAGAATACTGGAAGAGGTGGCCATTCCCTTCTGCAGGCGATCTTCTCAACCCAGGCATGAAACCCAGGTCTCCTGCATTGCAGACAGATTCTTTACCACCTGAGCCACCAGGGAAGCCCAGGAAATACGTCGACCGGAATCCTCTTAATCAAGACAGGGGCCATTAGAGAGAAAATAACCTACTCGGTTAATTTAGTTTTATTATTGCCATTCTCCTTGGGAATTAAAAATAGGGTTCTTCTGGAGAAACTGACAAAGCTGTGATTTATCTTAATAAAAGACTTCTTATGGAGATCTTGAAACCTGTTTCCGGAAAGAAATGAGTTCTAAATATATTTCTTAAGCCTGGTGGCAAAGTTTCTAATGACAGAATTCATCTCCCATGCAGCTCAATGAATCCCTGTTGTTTTTTTTTTCATTTATTTTTATTAGTTGGAGGCTAATGACTTTACAAATTTTTTTGTCATACATTGACATGAATTAGCCATGGATTTACATGTATTTCCCATCCCGATCCCCCCTCCCACCTCCGTCTCGACCCGATCCCTTTGGCTCTTCCCAGTGCACCAGGTCCGAGCACTTGTCTCCTGCATCCAACCTGGGCTGGTGATCTCTTTCACCCTAGATTATATATACACGTTTCGATGCTGTTCTCTTGAAACATCCCACCCGCACCTTCTCCCACAGAGTCCAAAAGTCTGTTCTATACATCTGTGTGCCTTTTTCTGTTTTGCAAATAGGGTTATCGTTACCATCTTTCTCAATTCCGTGTATATGTGTTAGTAGCCTGTAATGGTCTTTATCTTTCTGGCTTACTTCAGTCTGTATAACGGGCTCCAGTTTCATCCATCTCTTTAGAACTGATTCAAATGAATTCTTTTTAATGGCTGAGTAAGATTCCATGGTGTATATGTACCACAGCTGCCTTATCCATTCGTCTGCTGACGGGCATCTAGGTTACTTCCATGTCCTGCCTATTATAAACGGTGCTGCGATGAACATTGGGGTGCACGTGTCTCTTTCAGATCTGGTTTCCTCGGCGTGTATGCCCAGAAGTGGGATTGCTGGATCTTAGGGCAGTTCTTTTTCCAGTTTTTTAAGAAATCTCCACACTGTTTTCCATAGTGGCTGTACTAGTTTGCATTCCCACCAACAGGGTAAGAGGGTTCCCTTTTCTCCACACCCTCTCCAGCATTTATTGCTTGTAGACTTTTTGGATAGCAGCCATCCTGACTGGCGTGTAATGGTACCTCATTGTGGTTTTGATTTGCATTTCTCGGATAATGAGTGATGTTGAGCATCTTTTCATTGTGTCCTTTAGCCATCTGTATGTCTTCCTTGGAGAAATGTCTGGTTAGCTCTTTGGCCCATTTTTTGATTGGGTCATTTATTTTCTGGAGTTGAGCTGGAGGAGTTGCTTGTATATGTTTGAGATTAATCCTTTGTGTGTTGCTTCGTTTGCTGTTATTTTCTCCCAATCTGAGGGCTGTCCTTTCACCTCGCTTATAGTTTCTTTGTCGTGCAAAAGCTCTTAAGTTTCATTAGGTCCCATTTGTTAATTTTCGCTTTTGTTTCTAATCCTCTGGGATCCTGCTGTGATTTATGTCGGAGAGTGTTTTGCCTGTGTTCTCCTCTAGGAGTTTTATGGTTTCTGGTCTTAACATTTAGATCTTTAATCCATTTTGAGTTTATTTCTGTGTATGGTGTTAGAAAGTGTTCTCGTTTCATTCTTTTCCAGGTGGCTGACCAGTTTTCCCAGCACCGCTTGTTAAAGAGGTTGTCTTTTTTTCCACTGTATATCCTTGCCTCCTTTGTCGAAGATAAGGTGACCATAGGTTCGTGGATTTATCTCTGGGCTTTCTGTTCTGTTCCATTAATCTATATTTCTGTCTTTGTGCCACTACCATACTGTCTTGATGACTGTGGCTTTGTGGTATAGTGTGAAGTCAGGCAGGTTGATTCCTCCAGTTCCATTCTTCTTTCTCAAGATTCCTTTGGCTATTCGAGGTGTTTTGCATTTCCATACAAATTGTGAAATTATTTGCTCTAGTTCTCTGAAAGCTGCCGTTGGTAGCTTGATAGGGATTGCATTGAATCTGTAGATTGCTTTGGGTACTA